GCACCATGCTGGGATAAGGAGTTTTAACCTTGTAGACAAACAGGAACTGGCTTCTTGAACAAGAGAAAGGAATGGTGTTTTCGCAAACACTTACTCTGGCCGCAGTGTGCACTGAGCGTTGGAGAAGGAGAGACTAGAGGTAGAGACCCAGTTAGAGGACTGTTGCCATGATCGAAGTCACCACAGGAAAGAACTCGCTGGAGCTTCCTTTACGCGGGCTCCCCCTGCGCTACTTACAGGGATACGGTGCAAACAGAAGATACAGCTCTCAGTGCTTTGATGTCTGCTCTATTCCTGGATGCAAGTTTGGCTCAGCATCCTGGCCACTTTCCTTCACTCTTTATATATAGCCCCAAATCCCTGCTCCCGAGACACTAATGTTTCCAGGTGAAATCGAGGTTACTTCCTTTAGTACTGGAACACTTCCATTTTTCCCCCATAGAGCCTCTGCAGATACATGCTCTGTTTTGTCAGACTTGACACTTGATCACTGAGTTTAAATCCTAGCATTTCAAAAATAGGCCATATCCATAAAGAGTAAAGCAAAGCAAAACAAAGCAGACATACTTTGCCAAGTACCATATTTTTATCGGGATCAGCTGCCAACTACCCACATCTTTTTTCAGTCTGTCTAGTTTCAAATGGCTTGAAACCAAATCTAAACTTTAGCTTAGTTAATTAAACAGTGTTGGGGAGCTAACTTTTAAAGAAAGCTCATTTAAGCTAGAGTACAAGGGAGCCAAGAGGTCTTTGCATACAGAATCTTTAAATCAGTATCATTTCAGTGAAACAAAAAGAACAATATGTACCTCCACCACAGTTTCCTGTTTTGCAAAATTGATAAACGTTTTATTTCCTATCCTAGTTTGGCTACATTCTTTGTTTAACCATATTTTATAGCTTGCCGAATGCATGCAGTTTCAAATACGAGAGGGGATTTAATAATTAATCAATATAGGTCATTTGAGGGGGCCTGGACAGTGACACAGCAGTAAAACATAATGCTCTGTGGGGACAGCCAAGAAAGGAAGGTTTCAAGTTCACGTCTGGAGTCCTCACTGAGTATCCCAGCCTGCAAGTGCCCATGATCTAGGGCTGGATGGTGCTATGGGTGGGTAAGGGTGCTGTCTCTCTGTCTCTCTCATTCGTGGAAGAAGAAAATTAATTTCTTAAAAAATAAGCCATTTTAGTGATCTTTATAGGAAAATTATCCATAGCTAGAAAATGATCTTCAGGTTTATGGGTACATTCAGTACAATTTCTTTGTCTATTCAGATATAGAAAATACATCTCAGTTTTTGGGTATATTGTAAAACATGATTTAAAAAATATTTTATTTAACTTTATTAATTTATTCATCTATTTAAATTTGACCAGAGATGGAGTAAGTGAGAGAGAAAGAGAAAGCGAGAAAGTAAGCCACCAGGTCTGGGATTCGAACTGGGGTTTGACCATGTGGGAATCCAGCACCCTTAACCACCACGCCACCTGACAGATCCAACATGAATTTTTAAAAAGATTTATTTTTATAAAGCAAAAAGTACTGAGCTTTTACTTTTCAACAGAGAATGTTGCATTCTTTTCTCTATTAAATTGTTCTTCCCTTTGCCCCTCCCACCCAACCTCTACCACTCACCATTCCCTCCCCCTCCTTTCAGTCTCTGGTAGCCACACGTCCACTAACCTACCTTCATAGACAAGGACTTTTTTCTTAAAGAAAAAAAGGTTTAATATAGATTTGAAATTCGCATCATCATAAATGATAACATTTATGAAACATCCTTCTTTATGCACTCAACTTCTACATTTTTCTATTTCAATTTATCATTTTTTCTATCTGTACTTTTCTACTTTTCTGTCATCCTTTCTAGCAGCTACATTAAAAATGTGACCACTTCTCTCTACCCCTGACAGTATAGAAAGGTTACTTCTACATATAAGCTAAATAAAGCAATCCAACTGTTCTTGAAAAACCATGACAAGGGTCAGCAGGTGGCATGGATGTTAAGTTAGCTTGATCCCACATGGCTGAGTGTGTGGTTCCAGTCTTGGATCCGGCAGCTTGAAAAACATGCCAGGCACATGTGCATGTGTGTCCTGAATCCCAACAGGAGTATAAAGGAGAAGGAAATGCAGTGTAGCCATTTCCCCAGGGGATGATTTCTCACTTTCCCGCTCTCTCTACCTCTCTCTTTCTCTCTCCAGCAAGCACATGTGCCCTACAGCAAACTAAAAATAAATAAAAATAAGTGAGATAAATAAAAACAATGAAAAAAATCAGCATGTAGAAATAAAAGGTATTCATTAGAAAGGTGGCAATCTCTTGCTATACTTGAGGAAACTTGTAAAAAAAATACATTTGTAAAAATACGTGTCTCTGTATGTGTGTGTGTGTGTGCGCACGCGTGTGCACATCTTAGATATACTGATCAACTCAGTCACATTAAATCATTCATGATTCAGGCAACTCCAAAATAGGGTTTGTCTGAAATTTGTCAGAACCTGGAGTCTTCCAAAACACCAGCAGGTCACTTTCTACATTTTATGAAGCCCATGACAATTTTCCTTTAAACCTTCTTTTACCTTTCAATAGTTCTTTTTCTTTGAATTCCTCTTGCATTTTCTGGAAAGGGAGTTAAGTGACCATCTCTCCATGGGTGAGGGATCAGGGTCGTGTGCAAAACTAAGTCCCCTTCCCATCCCCGACTGTTTCGACCCTTCCTAAATCGAAGGCAGCAGGTTGACCGGGACTTGGATGAGTCTCTACCTGAGAGGACCAGAGAGGTCCCCTGCTGCTCATAAAGTGAGGGAAGTCACGATGAAGCAAATATACAGAGACTCCCCACAGTGAGGTCTTCCAGGAAACATCTTCTCTATGTCCCCACCCAAACCATGGCAAGGGCATCCAGTGACAGATATCAAAGGGAAATGATAAGGTAGCAGGAAGAGACGGGAGCCTAAGAGACTGAAAAGCATTAGATAATATAAAAAGGGAAATTCTACAGAAAAGGAAATTCTACAGAAAAGGACAGTCATAGCATATTTCTTAGCAGAGACACCGACCCAGTTCATATTTCCTTTATTTCCCTA